AGCTTAGAAGATCTGTGTTAGTCAAGGTCAAAGTTGTTAACTGTGCAGTGTCTTCCATACCAAGGCCTTCTTCAAGTTAAAATCAAAGTTGTTAACTGTAGTGTCTTCCATACCAAGACCTTCTTCAGGTCAAAATCAAAGTTGTTAACTGTGTAGTGTCTTCCATACCAAGCCCTTCTTCATGTCAAGATCAAAGTTGTTAACTTTGTAGTGTCTTCTATACTTAGGCCTTCTTCAGGTTGTAATCAAAGTTTTTAACTGTGTAATGTCTTCTATACTGAGGCCTTCTTCAGGTCAAATTCAAAGTTGTTAACTGTATTGTGTCATTTGTTGTTAGCCTGGTTCTATGATAGAGCCCCTTCCTGTATATCTGTTTCTTAAATGTGCTACGACATACTCACTCATACTGGGTACTTTGGTTAGAGGTTGTCCAGAGATTGCTATGTTAAAGCCAGGGTCTCGGTTCAGTGCAGGTTGATGTAACTGGATACAAAGGGATTCTTTAATTTTCTCAATGGTAAGCCATGTCCAGAGATTTATTATGATAGCCCCTATTTATGACATGGCCTGTTTTGTAATTATGTTCTGTCATGCTGATTTTTCCACAGTCTAGTTGCATCCCTATATTCCTTAAGACTTTGTTCCGTGGGTCAAGATGTTTATACAATGTATGCATTTCCACATGAACCAAATATTTTGTAAATAAATTCTTTTTAACTTGTTGATGGGTTATTTCACTTTCTTTAGGGTGTTTTGGAAAATCTTCCAGATCTGAAACAAAATTTAATGTCAAACTTTTGGTATAACCTTACGAGTTTCTCACCTTATTTAGAGTTATATGGAAAAGTAATTTTGTTTTATTGGTTTTGCTGTTTGGGGCTGGGAACTCTTGTTTTTATTGAAAGCTGAGATGAAGTTGGTAACCATTATTTATATAGACTTCTTCTTCTATGAAGTTCTTCTAACATTGTGAATCTACAACAGTACATGATGAAACCAACTAGTGGTTAATTATTCCATAAGTAAGGTATAGTCTATTATTTCTTTATTGTTATTTCAATTAAAAGTAATATTGAATGTTTAATTCATCTATTTATTATATTTTATCATGGATTATTTTGTATTGTTAGATTACTAGAAGTACATATGAATAATGCAAAGTACTATAATAAAATACAAAACAACAAGTCTGGAAGGGCATTAATATGTAGATTTTTTTTTAATAAAACAGTAAAATCCTAGAAGTAAGTAGAATTAGATTTCAATGTACAAAACAACATTCTTATTATATAAACTGAGTTTATTAATCAACAAAACCCTGTAATTAAACAGTGGCTACTGCTTCAACTTGAACTCAAAAATGTTTCAAGTTAAGGAAACAAAGATTAGACAAGTACTCAATACTTTGTCTGTTTGATAGATGTTCACATTGTTAACCACTTATTGGTAAATCATCCTTTTTTTCTATGAGATTTAAACTTAATTCTTTATTACTTATTTTAATACTGAATATTACTTCACTATGATCACTATAATTATTACAAGAACTTCAGAGTGAAAACAGAGTAGTCAACAACAATAAACCAACCACATAATATCTGCTATAGTGTATTAATGAGGCCTTACACCCAACAGAGCAGGGCTTCTCAGACCAACTGCGATGGAGATAAAAATTGTTATGGTTGAGAAGCTGTTTATATTACTATTATGGTGTTGATAAAATGTAAATTGTAATTAATTCTATCTATTTTACAACAGATTTTGGGTAAGGATTTCTTAACACTATTGTTTATTTATCTTAACACCATATACTGTTAATATTACTTTCTTGAATTAATCTACTCATTATTCAGAATATCTGGCAAACTAGTAAGCTAGTCTTCTTTATTGTTGTAAAACAATATTTAACAAGAACAATAAACAAACTACCTATGACTTGCTTTTACTTCTTCCAATTTCTCTTCTCTCACATGCAGTCTGTAATCTCACTTTTACGAACCAAAAGCAGAGAAACAATCTTGGACTTTGTCTACGTAAACTGCTTCACTTAGGAAATCCCATGACCTCTTGATAATGCATTTGGCTTTGAATTTAAACTTATTGTATCCCACGGCTTACAAAAATACTGATGATAGATTTGAGGCTTTTTTTGCATTTCACAATTACAACAAGTAAGAACAACAAAACTCTCTTTCTTGCTTTGCTGTAGATTAAAAATAAACTGATGTTCTAAACCTACCACCAGTTTCCAAACAACTGAGAATCCAAATTACAACAAATGAAATTTTAAGAGAACACTAAACATACAAAAATGTTACACTTGTTAAGAAACATGCTAGAGATTATTTTTAACACGTACATGTATATATGTTCAAGTGATAAAAACCTTGATTTCACATTATTAGAGATTACACAAACTCCTAACCTCTTTTCTAATTATGAACCCAAAGCACAATGTAAACTGTTCTAGTGTTAGAATTGGAATATTTATTGTCATTTGTTGAAATTCACCACTTAATCTAAACATGTGATATAATTTTCTCTAAAAATTAATAATACCAGGAAACAACTTACCAGTTACCGTAGTACACATACACGCAAGGTTCGGGCATGTTCACACCAACCCTCATACGAGCAAGTACATGTGGGATTCTCCTTGGTTTTAGATCAAACAACAAAATCTATTCAGTAAAGTTAACAATGAAAATTTAGCTAGACAAATCCTTATACAAGCTAATTCCTATGCAATGTTTCTTGTTTTTTTAGAAATTCTTTACTACCTCCACTGGGAGACTTGTAGTATATTTTACTAGAGAGACTTGAAGTATTTGATTTAGTAGTAGTAGAGGTTTTGTTTACCTATACATTTTAATATTTTTTCAATGACGTAGTTTTTCAAGTCTTTCCAGCTAGACCCAACTTTGTAAAGTTTTAGCTGTGACAGACCACTCCAGCTAGACCGAACTTTGTAAAGTTTCAGCTGTAATGGGCCACTCCAGCTATACCTAACTTTGTAAAGTTTTAGCTGTGACAGACCACTCCAGCTAGACTGAACTTTGTAAAGTTTTAGCAATAGCAGACTGCTCCTGCCACTTTCTAGAGTGGGACAACATTTTAGCTCCTATACCAAGGCCTTCTTCAGGGGAGGTTCTGGGACCTATTATACTAAAATTAGGTTTATACAATATTAAATCAGAATTCACTTGTGTAACTAGGATTTGATTGTAATATTTGTGTATGTTCATTTAATTTTCTGGAATTTCAGAATAGTTTTGTACCAAAAAATAAAAACAGTCACAGTGTTTTCAGTTTAGAAGTCTTGCTAAAGGTCAGTATTTTTAACCTTTAACGATTGTTATAACTGTATAATCAACTTTCAGGCTTTGCTGTCCATGAAGATTATTGTACTTCAGTTTAACTGAATACCACGTTATACACAACACAACATGGTAGACAAGAAAAAAACTGACAAAAAGGAAAGGGGGATCTACAAAAAGAGGTGGGGTAAAGCTTCCCTCTAAGTTAATGTAGCATGAGAAGTTCACTAACAAATACAAGTTTAGTTTTATCTCTGTGACAATTAGATTAATAAGATACATTTTCCAGCAGAACAACATCAGCCAGCCACAATAAAAGCTTATTTTTTTCAGTCTGAGGTAAAAAAAAGCATAAACAAAATAATTTAGATACAAATGAATTTCCGAACATCAGAAATTCTCAAAGTAAGGAAAGGTTAGATCCTAAGGGATCTGTTTTAAGAAAGGACAGCCACTACATATTTTAGACACATACACAGAAAACAGTAAGCATTTTGATTTATCACAAAAGCTGGATAAAGATAGCAAATAGAATAGTGTAGATGACTCCTTGTTATCTGTTGGAAATGAAATATGAACCCAACTAATTCTTATACAAGTTTCGAGACAAGAAATATATATATTTATATGTACACTATATAGGACATCATGCAAATAGTGTTTTATTAAAAAACAAAAATATAATGTATTTAAATTATAGCATTTTAGTCCTAGGTGTACCAAATTTCAAAATATAAATAGCTTGATTTAGTTTTAGCACTTTACATATATTATCATTAAGCTTAATTACAATAATCATATAGTTTTTTTATGATCTTTATAAGCAGTTTAACCTCTTCCAGATGTAAACAAAAAATAAAATTGTCCTCCAAACAGAACAGATTGGCATCCCTGGAATTAGCAGGCAGTATTAGGCTGAACTGGACAACTTGCCTAGTGAGCTGCTGATGAAATGTCATTTGATCAAACTGTTTTCGAAAACATGTATTTACAAACACAACTAGTCACTAAAACCTTCAACTTACCTGCAGAAAGCCCTGAGCCATCACTCAATTTTCCACACTATACAAGGATTATTCTATCAATCAAAGCCCACAGACACGTCATTGTGTGAAATACGCTTGTGTCGCTCTAAATTGTCTTTCCATGAGAAAAACCTTGGGCACAAGTTACACTGGAATAATGGGCGAATGTCTGAATGCATCACAATCTTGTGCCTCTTCAGACTGGGTTTGGCTGTGAACCGTCTCTGGCAGATTTCACATTCGTAACATCCTGTTCCAATCAGTTTTGACTGTTTAGAATATGTTGGCAGCCAAAGGCTGTTTTTGAGATAAAATTTCTTGGCTTCTAGAAAAAATATCAAGCATGACATCAACTAGAACAAGAAATTACCCGAAAACACACACATGAGTATGCATATATATAGTTTTTTCTCTGAAGAAAAAAATTAAAATAGACTTATATCTGTAATATGATTCAACATGTTCACATCAAACATAAAAAATCTGATAGAAATGTGCAAACTTATATTCAACTTTAAAATTATTTCAAAATATCACCAAAAGTTACTACCTAAACAAAAATTAACATGACATAACTATCAAGCATGTAAAAAAAAAAAAAGGAATGCAGTAAAACAGTATGCCAACAAACAACCTTACTAGCTAGCAGGACCTTCTTTCATTCCATTGCATAGTCAACATATAGTAGTTGTGCACTTTACAAAGGTCTTCATATTTCAATGAATTGGATAACAAATGGTGATTGTCAACGTACTCTTGACGTAATGAGATTTACATTAACAACTAATACAGGCAAACATTTTTCTATCAGTTGCAGATTTTCTCTGATGAAATATACAAAACATCATCACAATATTAACACTTTTCAGAATAACAAATAGATAACACTTTTTCCCTCATTTTGTGTATTGTTTTTGGTGGTTACAACTAACAAATACTCTGACCTGCATATAAATTATATTTTGTTAATAGAACATGTACCATTATATCCAGATAACTGACATCGTAATAAATTACGTTCAATGCAAGTAACATGGATATCTTGAGCATGCATACATGAATTTAACTAAAGTGATCAAATGGACACACTGACTATGTATGTTACTTGCATGGCCAATACTAAAGACATTTGCAACAAAAATATACTCAGTCAAGCTTATTTTTCTTTAACTATTGTATCAGCTTTTCAAAAAGTAAAATGGATAAAAAAAATATGAGTACAGTCCCCATTTCAAACGAAAAATAATGTTATTGTATGACATGAAATAGAAAATTGTTGATACAAACTTTTCTCAAAGAAAGTCACTGATTATTTGAGAACATGTATATAAATTCAGAAATGCTTTTTTTTTTTCTGGTTAGCATTACCACCTTTTTTTCAATACATTTCTAGTTTTGACACTGTAAGTGAATAAACTTCACAAAAAGATAAAATTATAATGAATAAGACTATCTCCCATGTGAAACAGTTAACTTTTGAAAAACAATTTCTATAAAGTTTTAATAAAAAAAAGTTTATCAGTGTTTGAAACTGTGTGAACAAATTTAACATACTGCATTCAGCCACCAACTTGAGAACAGTATTTTCATACAGTCTTCACACTTTTAAAACTAGATTATACCAGGTTATAACTTCCAAACAAGAGTAACCTAGCATTGTAATTAAGAATTTAACAGTGTTAAAAAATAAATTACTTTTGATATAACTTTTAGTAGAAAAGTTATTTTTATTTTCTGCAAATGTTACACTCCATAAAAAAAAACAATTAAAGAAAAAGGTACCATAAAAAATTATTATCTGTACATTGATACATGTGTACGTATTTCATCGAGAATGATCCAGAAATTTCCTAATGTAATGATTTTACAATATATCACTTATATTATCAAAGGTTTGATGTCTTTGGAAATTCCAGAGTATCGTTCACAGTAAATACAATCATATACTGAATTCACTTGCATTAAAAATAAAAACTGTACTACTTTTAACGTGTTCTTTACCAGAGCTTACAGTGATAGTTCTATCACACTAGGCCACTAACCAATATACTTAGTTAGTATCAAATATTTTCTTACTGAAATTATGCAAAATATGACATTTGTGTGGCATCCATGTGCTAAATTAACCACAGAATTCAAGTTACAAGGGAAAATTAACTAGCAGAAAGAATATAATTTTCTTGTAACATTCAAGAGAGTTTAAATCGTTCCCAGACCGAGCTCGTATTGCGATTTACTCGTATTAC